GGTAGTTTTAATTAGGTACTTCATTGAAGAATAATCTTAAACAATTATCAAACATTTGCATAATATATAACACTAACTCACATAATATTTTTTATATATAAAACACTAACTAATTTTACATATTATTTTATATATACAACACTAATTTGCAATAAATTTCATATCTTAAATATCTCTTACATTGATTTTTACTTTAATATTTCATTAGAGTTAAAAATATATATATATATATGTATTAATTATAACGGATCGGGGTGGTTCCAAAGATTAGGGATGCAAATGAGTCGAGTTTTATTGAGTTTGAGCTCTGCTCAATAAGTAACTAAGCTTAGGCTCGAGCTTGGCTTGGCTCGTTAATATTTATGAAAACTCGAGCGGCTCGATAAGATTTTTTTTAATATTATTTAAATAAAAAATATTATTTAATATATAAATAATATATTTATTATATAATTTAAATAAAGATAGATGAGCCTAACTTGTTTGAGTTTGAACTTGAGCTTAGCTCGTCTACTAAACGAGTCTAATATTCAAACTCAAATTCGGCTCATTTACTAAACGAGCCGAGTCTATTCTTGAATAATTCGGTTCATTACCTACCAAAGACAAATTATAAATTTCAAATCGCGGATCAATTTAAATCGCAATTAATTGAAGGATCGATGCGAAATGAGTGAAATTTTGCAGTCCTACCATCCCTTGAAGTCTTGGATTTGCTTTGATAATCTATGATCATATTCCAATATGAATTTTTTTTTTTTTTTTTTTGGCTTTTTTTTTTAATTTTTGGAGTGAATTTATTAGTGGTATTCATCACTTGACACTTGTCAAATTATTTTCCAACAAACTCAACAATTGAACCCTACTATTTAATCAATAAATAACCAAGTTGGGAGCACAAGCAAAAAAATAATTTCTCCTAATTTTGAGGTATTTCTCCTTGGTTTGATTTACGGTTCTCTCTGGTACCTTTGCATCAATTAAATCTTTTTATCAAGATATATATATATATATATATGACTTGTTAAGCATTTTTTTAAAATTTTAAAATTTCACAACTTTCATTCTGCAGAGCAACTTTGAAATTTTGTAGTTTTTCAAACACAAAAATTGAATTTGCTTGAAATTTTAAATTTTAAACTTTAAATTTTAATCTCAGTATAAAAATAATGAAATTTTAAACTTTTGTCCACAAAAATTGCAACATTTTGTAGTTGCACAAAAGTTATGAAATATTAATTTCATCGCTTCTGAAACACAAAAAGTGTGAAATTCTAATCACTACACAGCAGTCACTCCAAAAGTGTTTTTGGGTATAGATTCCTTTCAATAGTTTCTCATATTATTATTATTATTATTATTATTATTATTATGGTTAATTATAATAAAAAAAAAATCAAAGGGTTCACGTATTTTTCACCTTAAATCTCGATGTTTCAATTTTGACAAATGAAATTTTGGAGTTCCTTCGTCCATCTTCGTCTATGTAAAGTAATGGAGGGTTAAAGTGACAAAATGTGAAACCTTGAGATTTTTTGTGTAATTAACCATTTTTTTAAATTAAAATCACTAAAAATAAAAAGGATTAATTACAAAATAAATCCTAAGATTTCACGTGTTTCTCTCTTTAAATCCCATCCGTTACCTTACACAGATGGAGACGGAAGGAGGGACACATTGAAACATGGATGGAATTTCATGATTTAATTCGTCGAAATTGAAGCATTAGAATTTAAAGTGAAAACGCATGAAATTTTGGGGGTTTTTTAATTTTATTTTAATTAACCCTTATTATTATTATTATTATTATTTCCCTTTCCAGCCAAAATCTTCTCAGCCAAACCCAATTACACTTCCACAAATTGGCAGTGAGGATCAAAGGATTTAAAAAAACAAAAAAAAAAAAAAAGGAAAGAAAAGAAGAATTTTTTTTTTGGTATACTTTAGTATATGAAATATATAGTAACCATGCCATGTCAAAATCAAGTTAACATGTTGACCGGTTGGCGGCTAATCCAACCATCATCGTCAATGAATTTGATACTAGTTAACCACGACAGCATATCCTGACTTAGATTAGCTTCCCATTTAACACGGTTCAATGTGTTCAAATAATATATATATAATTAAGCAAGTGCAATTTGAAAGAAAAAGTGATATAGTACACTGAATTAATATTCTTTACTATTACTAATTTTGAATGAATTTAAATTACTAGAATTTCTCTTTGTTTGCTGAAAAGATTTTTAAGTTTACTTATTCTATTATTTTGAAAGGGAAATTGCAAATTAGTGGTCTTTTCATAAGATATTTACAAATTTATGAAAAACTTTTTAACTTTAATTATTAAATATGATACTAAAATTTTCCACTAATTTACAATTTTACCTATTTTGAACGATGATATTATTTTCTCTTTAGTATGTAATCATGGTTGGCCACCTCCAATAAAGTGGGATACCATTGGTCACATTTTTACCCGTTTGTTTACTAAGGTTTTTGTATTCTTTTTAAAATGTTTGAAAAATCTCATATCCTTTTAGAATGTTCGAAAGATTTCATATTTTAAGTCATTTTTATACTCATTTTGAAATGTTTTCTAAATAAAAAAGATTCTCATATAAAAATTTATTTCAAATTTGATTATCATAAATTGTGTACATTACCTTTGTAGGACAAAAAAAAAAAAAAGAAGAAGAAAACATAATAGAAATAAAGATATAATAGTAAATCTAATTTATAAATAATATATTAGATCTACTTTTCCAAAAATCAATGAGACTATAAAAAAATCATTAGGACTAAATGGATCATCATTCCTCAAAATGAGATTTATAGATAAATTTCCTATATATATTTATATTTTTTAAAATTTAGAAAATCAAGAAAATTAGTATGAGATATTGAAATTCTCACAAGGCTTCTTACTAAATGGAATGGGAGTATAAGATTCCCATTCTATGAGTAAAACAACTCATTTTTTTCCTCCTTCTTTTTCCGATTTGAGATTATCAAATAAAAGTAATTACTTAAAATTAAAAAAGTCAAGAAAATTAGAATCAGAATTTGAAGCACCTATAAGGTTTTTCATTAAAAAGTTCATTTTCTTTATATAATATATAGATAATAAATGTTATTATATTTTAAATATAATGATGAATTTTGTTATATAAATATACTTAGTAAATAAACATAAATTTTATGATAAATATTTTTTTTCCAGAAATGTGTTCTAAAAAAATAATAATTTTAAAAAGTTTGAAATGGTGTTTAAATTTATATAAATTTATAATTAAATAGATGGCATTTTTTTGTGTGAATTTAATAAATTGTAATTTTTTTTTACCTTTTCTTTTACAAATTCTGTTATGAGCTCCTTTGGGAAGGAAAAGGCAAGGACTTTTTGGCTAAAATAGTCACAAAAAAATAAAATAAACTAAAAAGTCAATAAGATAAAATGTCACATTTAAATCATAATTATTACATTTTTTTTCTTACAAAATTTAAAAAAGACAAAAAGTCAAAAAGCTCATCACAAACGAGACTTTTTAACCCTAAGCTAAAATAGCCAAAAAGTCAAGCCACATCCCAAACGAACTTGTAGTGATTTTCATCGTAATAAAAATAAATACATGGCAAACGGTTAGGGATTTTTTTTTATTTTTTTTTTTTACCTTTTGGCCCTTCGTGGACATTTTAATTTAATTTAATTTATTTTAATTTTAAGGTGGATAGAACCTAAGAATGTAACAATATCTAAAACTTTAACTAAAAAATCACTAAAAGTGAAACAAAAAAAAAAAAAAAAAAAAAAAAAAAAAAACAGCGAAGAATTGCTAAAAAAGTAATTGTCAAACTCAAAATCACTGAAACCTAGTATCCAAATTATTTTAAATGACTAAGCATGAGAGGTCTGAAATAAAGATTAGGGTAAATTATAGTAGTAGCCCTTATATTTTGGTCTTTGTATTATTTTGATTCTTATAATTTCAATTAGCACGTCAATATGGTCCAATTGAATATCAAAATCGGGCTAATTGAAATAATATGGACCAAAATGACAAAAAGGAAAAAATGTGAGGATTACTGATATAATTTGTCCTACAGATTAATGTGGGGATTAAAAATCATTGAATAATTTTTAATAATTAGGTGTGTCAATTAATTATATTAAAAGCTTACCTAATTATATTTTATTTATCATGTGAGGTATTGCTAACAGACATAAGTTGCAGAGATTTATTAAACTAGAAGAGAGAGGTGGTAAGAGAGAGTATTCGTGGCCGGCGAAATTGCCCCAAGCATTTCAACCAAGAGGAAGAACAACATCTGATAAATAAGAGTTATAAAAGATGACTCTAGCATACTCTCTCCAAGGCCTGCCCAAGTAGGTGAGTCCAGTTCCAATGACACTACAGTCTTTGAAGACAAAACCATTAGTTTCCTCTGGTATAGACTTTCCCTGTGCTGTTATGAACCCTGCCAATCCATCTAATGCTTCTGCTATTACTGATATTGTACATCTCTACAATACCAACAATAAATATCTCATTATTCCGTAACTTGTATAAAAGGTATCTTTTATGGAAAGTTATGAAATAAAGATATAATGGAATAGTTATTTCACAATCATTGATTATGAAATGGATATTTCCATTCCATCAATGTGAAAAAACGATCCTAATCCAAAATAACTCATTATATATCTATACAACAAGAGAGGGAGGTTTTTGAATCTTGATAAGACTTTTGTCTATTTGTCAAAATATACACCATTAGATTGATTCAATCCAATGGTTGAAAATGTCTCTCGCCTTTGGACATTTTAATGCTTGAGATTAGTTTGGGTAAATATCAATGCTTGAGATCAGTTTGGGTAAATATCAATGCTTGGGTGAAAATGTCTCTCTCTCTCTCTCCCTCTCTATCTCTCTCCTTTTTTCTCACCCTCAGACGTCTTCACTGTTTCTCTCTCTGATTTTGATTTCAAAATTTGAAACTCTATTCTCTCTCTCTCTACAAGTTTGATCTCCTATGGTGCCAACACATCACATACCCATACCCAACAACACCACAACTCACCACTCTCTCTCTCTCTCTCTCTCTCTCTCTCTTCACAAAACCCATTTTCTGGGTCTTTTTCAATTCTATTTAAATTCTTTCATTTCTTGATTCTTTTTATTTTTTGGGGAGTTTTGCCATCTCTGTTTTTGAAGTTTATTGTGAAGTTTGTGAAGCGGTGGAGGATCTTCCCATTTTTTTTTTTTTTTTTTGCAATGGATTTCTGGTTCCAGAACTTTCGGTGATTTCAGGCTTGATCTGGGTTTTCAACGGCTTTGATCGCTGTTTTTGTGTGATTGTAGTGAGAGAGAAAGAAATATGTTGGGTTTATCGAGGTTTATCGAGATATGTTGGGTTTATCGATGGCTGAAGGGGGATCTCATTACTGCTCTAAAAAGAAGGACGATATTTGCGGTGATGGTTGCGATAAGGTATTATATATATATTGTTATTACTATTAATTGTTGTTATTGTTATTATATATATTTTTTTTTCATGACATTGTTGGGATTTGTTACTGTCAACAATTTTTGTTGATTTTTGGGTTTTGGGTTAGTCATGGTTTGTTTGGCTGCTGAGAAAGTGAGCAAAAACAAAGGACTAGATGATTTTGACTTTCCAACTTTTTCCTTATTTGGTTTCCTCAAAAACCCAGAAAGAAAGATGAAAAAGAAAACTAACCCATTTTATTTTATATTTTTTGGAAAGCCTTCCGTGATTGTGTTGGTTGAACCCTAACTTTCAATTGAAATACTATTCACTTACATTCTAAGACACATGTACATTGATATATATGTTTTCATGTCTTTCCAATTTATGTTTTCATGTAAAAGCTTAGAATCTGTTATTATATATGAAGAATGAGAACTCTTTTACATCTCAAAGAAATCCATCAAGAAATGCAAGGTAGGGGTGAACAACATATACCCCTTTCAAAATTTCTGCATTGTGTTGTTTGCTTACTCAGATTACAAAATTCCCCCGAGTTTAATTTTCAATCTTGGGAATAGTTGCAACCAATGTTTCAATTTCGGTTGATTTGTGCTTTTGGGTCTGCCATGCGTCATTTGGTTGCTGAGAAAGTGCAAGGAAAGTCTAGATGATTTTGACTTTTCAACCTTTCCAAAACTATGCATTGTGTTGTTTGCATACCCTGATTACAAAATGCCTTCAAGTTGTATTCATATTTTTAAGTTAGTCCCTAATTTTTATACTACATAGATTATGGTGAAAAAGTTCATTGTCAAATTCAAAGCTCTGTACCAATCCAAAAAAAAAAATAAAAAATCAAAGCAATGTGTATTGTATTGACTTGGACAGTGTTTGAAGTATGTCTTAATAAGGGAGGAAGGTTTTTGAATCTTGGAAGGTTTTTGAAGTATGTCTTAAAAAAGATTTTTATGTCATTTGTTTCTCATTTGGGTTTGATTGTGTTTCTCATTTATATTATGTGATTTGTTTCTCATTTATATTGCCTCAATTAAAATTTTACACATTTCAACATGATACGTATAAATTACAATTATGTCATTTGTTTTTTTTGTTTGAAGCCACAGAGATCATCAATTGAAGAATTGGTTGCACATATTTTTCTTTGATTTTGAATAATTAATAACTATTGATTTGTTGATTACGGTTTAACTGTTGATTACGGTTTGATTTTTCTTCGATTTTGAATAATTAATAACTGTTGATTACGGTTTGATTTGTGGAAATTTGGGGAAATTTTCAAGAATTGAAAACTGTTTTCATTCACCACCTTAAGAGAAAAACTTCATTCAAGAATTTAAAAATCAACCACTCTTTATTTATTACCAAATACCTGTAAGTATAATAGTCTGATATGAATCATGATTATTAGTTGCCAACAAAAAAAAAATCATGATTATTTGTTTTTTTTTTTAAGCCTTATTTTTTGTCCTCTTACATTTTATTATTATTCATAAGGTTGTCAATATCAGCAAAAGTGCATGAAAAAGAAAAGATCATATGAATTCATCTAATATTCATCAACTCTTAATTTTTTCTTTGTTCAGCCACAGAGATCATATTTTTCTTTGTTTTTTTTTCTTGAGTATTGTTTTTCTTTAATTTTGGGTGCACTTTTATGGGTTTTGTTAATTTTGGGTGTACTTTACTTTAATTTTGTGCAACTATTGTATTGAGTTACTCTATTGAATGGTTGTTACCAAAATGTTCGAAACCCATTCTTGGTATCTTCTCTTATATTGATTTAGTAGGAATTATTGGAAATAAGAAGAATGTTCTGCATTATCAAAAAATGCAGAACATTTTTGAGTGTTTATTCTTACTTGGACATGCATGTTGTTTATTCGTAATTTTTGATATTTTTCTTTTATACTATCTGTTTTCTGTTTTTAACCTGATGCATATGGATAGGTAGATGGAACTTACATAATATCGAAAATTTGGTTCACAAAGTATGTACACTAGCTCGGGACTCCATAGAATAACATGAAAAAAGCTGCTTGAGGGCATCAAGTTTGCAGTGCCTTTGATAGTTCGATTTATTTTTCATGGTGCAATTAGTGATCCAATTTTGTAAAAGAATTCTTCTACCAGATTTTGGAAATTTAATAGTTCAATTTATTTTTTGTGGTGCAAATTAGTGATCCAATTTTGTAAAAGAATTCCTTCGCTATATCCTTCGATTAAAACTGCATTTTCTACTTTATTTGTCTATTGTTTCCTTTCTATTTTTAGAAAAATAGACTTTCTAGATGTAATTCTATTTAATGATTAGCTTTTTCCCCTTGCAGGTGTGGTTTATGGCGGGGTTTTCACACATTTTTTTGTTGATTTTTATGAGGTCTGTCATTTTTTTCCCTGCATTACTTAAAGCTATCTGTTGGCTTGCTGAACTCAATAGGGTTTCTAAGAATCATTGTGGAGTTTCTGAGAATAGTCAATTAAATTTTTTACGAATTTTACTTCAACAAGGTAAAACTTAATTACAATGGATTATTTTTATTTGGTAAATTACTTTTATAAGTTTTATTGCACAAAAACAACAAAACAAGGCATACCCCATAGCAAACAAAGAAACAACAGTATCAAAGAACCTTAAAAGCAATCAAGACGAACACAAGTAGAAACCATCTAATCAAAGCAATAAAGACAAACAGAACCTTAAAAGAAATTCCCATAAGTTACAATCATGCCTATTCATTCCTCCAAAAAATTCTGGAGTTCCTTTCAATCCAAACATGATATATAGGGGCAACAAACAATAATGTTCCAAAATGGGCCTTCATATTTGTTGTGTGTTATGCAACAAAGATGAGGAGAATCACTATTCATATTTGTTGTGTATTTCATGCATGGCTGATTTCACCTCATCAGGATAATTTACTTTTGTATATTATTTTGGCCTTTTTAAAAATAATAATAACAATAGAGATTGGCCCTAATTATGCTTTGCCAAATCTTTACAATTTACTCATGATTGTCCATACTGTCCTATGCATCTCTCACTTATGCTTATGTATGCCTTTAAATGTTTAGGTGTTCATGTCTTCTGTCATATTTACATGCTCTTCTGCAATTCACTTGCAGACTGAATATATGCATATTTATTTCCAATCATATTGATAAGTAGCTATTATTGCAGGTTATTGGAATTGATCTTTTGTCACAATCTCTATTGCTAGCTATAGTTGAACTTGCTGAGGATAGGCATTGGAGGGTTCGACTTGCAATAATAGAGTACATACCTTTATTGGCAAGTCAGTTGGGTGTGGGATTTTTTGATGATAAGCTTGGTGCTCTCTGTATGCAGTGGTTGCAGGATAAGGTCGGTGCTGTTGCCCACTCTCGACAGTTTTATCTATATATCAAACTCTATACTTTTGCCAACTATCAATAACTTAAAGCAGTCAGAACAAACTTACTTTGACATAAAAACTGCCTGTCAGTCGAAAGTGAGCTATTGGCTCAATATAATGTAATAGATTTGCTGCTCTATTTATTTGAAGTGATTACCTTTCAAATGAGTCCATATTTTCTTTTCTTTGTTTGGTGATTATCATTGTTATGTTAGTAAAATTGAATGATAGAGATGCGATCAATCTGTTCTGCAAGTTGAACATATGAGGGCTACATTCAATATTTATTCTTTTGGTCATTTATTTATTTTTTATTCTTTCAAATTAGTTTATTACAAAGTTTATCGAATTATTATTTTTTTGATATGCATGTAGGATAGGAGTATGATAGCTATGTGTTTGTGTCAAAGCCAATTTAATTACTTATTCCAGTAAATTAAAGGATTAGTTTTTTCCATTTTACTTGAAGATGAAATATCATTTCTGATAAGCTAATTTAGTAAACGCATAACCAAACACATAACTCGAAACTCCATACTTACTTTATGCTTGAAGTAGTTTAAACCTGCTTTATACTTTTAATTAGATGATTACGCATAATGGTACCTAATAAGTGAAGAAGAAGATGGTTTCACTTTCAACCCTTAATGTTTGTTTTCAGCTATTCACTTCTGTATTTATTTTATTTGTGTTAAAAAAATAAAGTTATCTTAAAATGATCCTGTAGAAATGATCATGTACAAACATTATGGTACTTTGATTAATTGTTTTATTTCTTTTGTTTTGATTGCTATATTTCTATAAATCAATTTCTAATATATGATTTCCCTCTTGCTGCAGTTCATGAATTTTTGACGCAGTTTATCAGTTTCTATAATGAAAGGTATTCAATTTTTTTTTTATTTCTCTCATAATATTTTTCATTAAAATTTGATAAATATGTCATTTCCTTTCTCCCTCTAATCATTAGTTTTTTCCCAAATTTTAGTTTGTTATTTTCTGCTATTTTCATATTGTGTTGTATTTTTTTGCTGGTGGTCATCAATTTCTAGGTTCTCAATATAATCAAAGGTACAACTCTCTCACACAATTTTTCTTTATTACATCTCTTTCATTACTTATATAATTTTGATAAAAGTTAAATTGTTTGGTTTGTTACTTTTTTAGTTATGTTTTAAACAAAGCTCCCTTTCCATTTGCATAAAAGATAGGCAAAATGGGACTAATGAGCAGTAAACCACGATTAAAAAAAAAAATAGTATTACTCAAACTTTTTGCTTTTATTTGCTTTTTTCACTAGATTATTTTTCTTAATCTTTCTTTTTTCTTATGGAGCTTAGTAAAGGGTGTTGTAGTAGTCTTTGTAGCTTTTTTGTTAGTGGTTTTGGTGAATGTTAAAGTAGTGGAATGAAATTGAATGGATTAGTATGACCTATGCACTGTACACTAGATTTCTTTTCCCCCTATAAGAAAGTGTTGGCTTGGCCATTACATATTTTGGGGATTGTTGAGAGTGTGTGTTGAAAATTTAAACCAAAAAGAAAATGTGCATAATGAGGATTGAAAAATTGAAAAAAGAAAAGAAAATGGAAGATAAACATAGATAAATCTCTTTTCTTTTTTTTTGGTGAACACACAGACTAATCTTAGGTAACAAAATGCCTTTCTTAAGACAATATACATTGGTAAATTTTGAGTTACTTTGGAAATAACTTTGTGCTTAGTTTTGGAATCCCCCATTGTCAAAATAAAAATTGATGTCTAATTGTCTTTTAAATTGGTTTTTCAGGATTTACAAATTTACATTTTATTTAAGAGAAAAATAAAGTTATAGGTTCTTTTTTCCTCTCTATTTCTGTCTTCTCTTTTTTAACCTCTTGGAATATGAGGACAACAAAATCGTGGTGTAGAGTTTTTGTTGTCCCATTGTTCTTCTTGCCTGGTTTAGTTAGTAAAGGAAAACAAGTGTTTTCATTTTTTGTCAAGTACATAATAAATGTAGTAAAACTAGATAAGGAAATATGTGAAGAAAGTGAGTTGGACTGTGTGTGATGACAAGTGGGGTTTGATAAATGATAGATGCTTTTGAGTAGTTAAAAAGTTTATTACATATTATGTGATGTTGATTTGAAAATACTGAACATTAGACATTTTTACTTTAATCCATCTAATCTAACTTTATTATTATTTTTCAAATTTAATTTTTATTTTTTTTTTTAATTTCAGGTATCGATATTAGAATGGCTATTGAACGACTTTCAAATCCTTTTAACTTTGGCCAATTTTTAGGGTAACAATTTCATTTTTAAAATTGTCTTAGTTAATGTATTTGATGGCTTCTTACGAAAAGTACAAAATAAAGGAGAAATAATCTTGGGATTAATCTTCTCCTGTCCAATTTTATTACTGGTATACACTGTCAGCCCAACTTTAATCTTGGGATTAATCTTGGGACAAAATGTTTGGAGATATTGGGATTAATCTTGGGATTAATCCCAACATCAATTTTATAGCAATTGTCATCCCAACATTAATCTCAAAATGTTGTCGTAGGGGTTTACCATCCCAATATAGATGGACATGAGAGATGACCCATCACTACTGATTGTCCTATATATAATGCAAAGGACTCCCAGATTGGGGACACACTAATAGACCTTTTTGAGACTCCTTTAGCTTTGCCATTCTATGTCAATAACTCAATTTTTTTTAATGTTTTTTAATTTCCCAACAGTGGCTTCAAGACCCATTGTTCAACACCAAAATAGAGATATTTTACATTGTCTATTGAATTTCCCTTTTTCTGCTCTTGATCGTTGTTGTTGGTTAATTATGTTGTTTGGATTTATTGTTTGTGTTAGGTTTTATTTCTTGGCAATCCCGTTTGACAAAACTCCTTTGAGTTGTAATTTTATTCGCATTTTTATTTCAGTGAGACTTTGAGTGTTTAGATGCGAATCCAAATGCAAAAATGCATTCAAAGTTGCCTATCCGATCATGTTATGTTTTTCCAGTTTTTCCAGTTTTGGCCTGTCCGCTCGAGCGGGGCATCGGGCGTTCGAGCGTGGATTGGAAGCACTCAGCATCTCTGCAGTCGCCTGTAAAAATACTGGAAGGTGTGATTTTCCGCTCGAGCGGATTCTCTTACGCTCGAGCGCATCTCAGTTTGTTCGCACGCAATTTTTGGTCAGTCCGCTCGAGCGGGCTGTGTTGAGCTCGAGCGGACCGCGCGAATCCAGATTTCCAGATTTGATAAAGAGTTCGTTTTCTGCCCAATCTAGGATTACTTTTTGGTTCCCTATAAAAACTTGGTTTTCTCCCAAAACTAGGTGATTGATTTGAACTTCTCCAGATCTTATCTTTTTGGATCTTAAGGTTTATATCTGGAGAGATTTTGCTAGTTTTCTTTGATGTTTTTCTTGAGTATTCAACTCATGGTTTAAATAGAGTACATCAAAGGTTGTGTTTTGTTCTACAAAAGAGAGAGTTGTTCTTCGGTGGATTCTGAAGAATTCGAGCCTGAAGCTTTGGTGGATTCCGGGGTGGCTCATCAGAAAGACAATTCCGTGGTGAAGATGGGGTTGGAAGAGGCACTTAAAGGTTGGTTCAATTAGGCGTTGTGGATTCGCTAGGTAATTGAGAGTATACCTGTGTAATTCCTTTTATTCTTCTTAGTGGATTGTCTTGTGGCTGTTGCCCGTGGTTTTTGATCACAGTTGGAGGTGTCCAATTATGGTTTTTTCCATGTTAAAATTGTTGTGTCTCTTTGTATTGATTGTTTGATTGGGATTGTTATATTCTGCTTAAAATTGATACATAATCACAAATCAACATCTAGGGGATTTCTAGATTTTTCAGTTTGAATTTTGAATCCTGAAGGATTTGTTGTTTGGATTTGTTGGTTGATAATTTTTGTATTATTTTTAAGATTTCATGTACAGGACACAATGCTTCCCTTTTGCAATAGTCAGCCTTCTATTTGACATATAACTTTATAGAGATATGTCCAATTTTGGAGTTAATAATAATGTATTTTGGAGTTGAGCCCATCTCAAACTCAATTAAACAGTGGATGTTTTATTTCTAGGCTTTTAAGTCTGTAGAAAATTTGTCAAAAATTTACTAAATAGGTTTTTGTTTTCAAGTTTCTTTTTTTCTCCTTCCTTGAAAGTTCAAACATTGAGTTTGCATTTGCTTTGATTGTTGGAAAACTTTGTTCTTTACCTGCTCGCAAAACTTTTTGCTTTATTGTTGACTGTAAATGAAATAACATAACAGCAACTTAAAGATCACATAAACACGTAATTAAACAAAAATAAAACTATTTGGGCGTTAATTGAATTTCATTTGAAAACTCACCTATGTTCTTACAAAGTTTAATTTTAAATCCCTTCATTTGATTGGAAACTTCCACAGCTTCTGTGAACTTAGATAGATGTTTTCGAGTTTGTTTTATGGTGGGTCACCAAAGCTCAACAATGGTTGTTTGCCTATGCCATTTTCTTGGTATAGAAACAGGGATTTTCAGATGGAAGGCATAATTTTCTTGCCATTTTATTTTTAAGACAAGAAGGGTTGGGATTACAATTATATTAAATTAATAATTGATAATTGATAATCTATTAAATAGTATTGAGATTACAATTATATTCTAATCCTAACATTATTTATACCGTGCCTTCAGGCACGGGTATACGCTAGTATATATATATGTCAGAATTCGAGTAATATCAAACCAAATCAAAATAAAACCAATATCGAAATTGGATCAAATCGAGTGACCAATTTGTCAACTGGCATTGTTTGCGTAATACTTCTAGAGTATCAAACGACATTGTCTATATGATACTTTTGGCCCATGAAAAATCGCAACAGATAGTGTGTTATCTTTTGTAATAAAGGTGAGTTAGCATCTCTTGTAAAATTTTCTATTATCTGATTGATTTAAAGCGCCACATAGACAATGTCGGAGAAAAATTCTCATTCATAGTTGCACTAGGTCTCTAGATGACAAATAAAGGCCATGTTAAAAAAGACAGCAATTAGGGAAGACAACCTATATGATGTAAAAATGTGATGAACTTTGCCAAAAAAAAAAAATAAAATTATGCAAATAAATAGAAGGGTATATATGCTTTGAATGGGATCTTACAGATAGAAAAATAATGCAATCAATTTGATAATGATTGAGTGATATTACTTTGTCGGTAAAAGCTATATATAGACCTCATAAATAGATTGACTAGAACCAAAGATGAAATCAACAACTCCTTGTATGGTGTAGAGCTATATATATAGACCTCATAAATAGATTGACTAGAACCAAAGATGAAATCAACAACTCCTTGTATGGTGTAGAGCTTGAAGTAATGTTTGCCTTGAACATCCCACAAAGTGTCTTGGAATCCATAAAAACCACATCTGTAAAAAGCAGATTTGTCATCGGAGATCATCGCCGCCACGGCCGTTCTTATAGGGTTGTAGTTGGAGGATTGTTAAAAGAGTTCTGCTCAAGTTTCATCATAAAGATGAGTTACATAAGCCACAATTAGGGGAGTTGAAAATTGTACAAAAGAGGGGTCCAAGCAAGATTATTAAATTTTTTGAGGGACCAAAGTAATATTTATATAGATTTAGGGGTTAAATACTTGAAACACATAGGCTAATGAGATTTTTTGTGATGTGTGAGAGGGTCAAAGTAAAAATTACATATAAATTGGAGGTCTAATATCATACAAATAAGAAAATTATACAAAAAAAATTAAATCAAAAGATCCACCAAATTGTCTATTATCTATCTTTATCTGTATGCAATAAAGTAAATAAAGAGTTCTTGGTATAAATCCCTTTTTGTCACAAATTTTCTATTTTCTAAACTACCTTTCTTTTCTGTTACGGACAAATTAAAAAATATTTCGTAATCTATAACTACACACCCATGTGGTGGGTGTGCACACTTTCATATAAATTAAACAAAATCTTTAGTATGAATGTCACGTTTTTTCATTCCCAAATTAATTTTTTTCTATAATTATCAAATTCAAACTCATGAATTCTTTGTACGGTTGATTTGTTAGTGTGCACCATTCTAGTTCAAAAAATATCATAAAATGTTTAAAAAAAATGATACATTTTTCTAATTAAATAGTTTGTACAAAAATTTAGACAAATATCATTCAAAATTAAATGAAAGATATATAAGTACCCTGAAGTATATGCTTTTGACAATGATATTATCAGCTTGAGGGATGAAAGTGGGGCTGGTAGCAATAGAATCGTGAGAACCCCAAATTATACTTGTCTTTCTTTCTCCATCTCCTTTAATATTTTGGGAAGTGGGTTATAATCCAGTTCGCAGATTATAACCCACTTCCTCTCTTACAAAAAAAACTGCTTATAAACAGTTTTTCATTAAAAAACTAATTATAACTATCTTTTCAAAATAGCTCTATATATATGTATGGCTTATCCATTGTGATTCTTACCTGTTCTCTACATTCACCACCTATGTAAGTCATTAAAATACTCAAATAACTCTTTTAACATGCGGCAATAGTAATATTGGGAGACATATTGATATCAGTCACGATTAGAATTATATTAGTTATATATTGATGATATAATCTTATATTTGCTAATATGATATAATATTAATCGATTTATTAGTGATTTATAAACAAGTAATGTTGCACCACCAATACCCAACTGAAAAGCTCGACGAAATAAATTTTGAAATTTATAACATTTTCTAAAAAATATATTGTTAATAGTGGATGTCAGTATTGGAAGTCTCAAGATCCAATATTGACATTCACAGAATATTAACCAATATTACATCATATCAATATGTATGGCGATATTGTTATTTAAGATGATACTGATAGCCAATAGGTATCATGAACTAGTTGATACGCATGTGATTTCCTTCCAATCGATATACAAAGGTGTATCAATATTGAAAGGACAAAACCGGATATATTTTGATAGATACTATGAATCGTGAAGGAAAGAATACTTGTACTCGCTGGCCCTAACGGAAACACAAATTCAATTCCCATTGCTTGAAGGAATGGAATCAATAGCAGATTGAATGGTTGAGAAATTTCCATGTCCAGATTGATCAACATAGATTGTTGGGTAAGTAGCCATGGACTGTGCCTTGAAAAATCTTCGAAACACCCGGCGATTCGCGGATCCAAAACTGATGAAGAAGAGAGCAAAAAATGCGCATAAAAACAGACCACAAACCAACATTTTTAGTACTGTAAATAAAAACACTGTCAAGGCTAGCTAGATGTTAGCCTAGAACAGTTTATTTATTCTTGCAAGAATTTTTGGAGGGTGACAAAGCAATTAACTCTGTTAAAAACGAATAAATAGTTCGAGAAAGAATCATAATATATGTTATGAATTGATGTATTATTATTGACTGATATGTATATATTGATTGTTGTGTATTTTGATTTGTATGTTACAAGCTATTATATAGGAGAGGTGTGAGGTAAGTGAGTGGTAGTAGTGGATGGTAGTGGAGGTGGTGGGTGGTAGTGGAGATGGGTGGTAGTGGAGATGGTAAGTGTGTTAGGTTTAGTGGGGTGGATGTAGTGGGTTAGGTTAGTGGGTTAGGTTTAGTGTACATTAACAATATATAATGTGAAATTTCAGTTTTTGGAGGAAATAAAATGGGGAATGTCAAAAGTCTATGAATGGTATAATTATAGAATTTATTGTTTGATTGTGAAGATCATTACAGATTGTGAATATCATTACAGATTGTCTCTTAAATTTCAGTTTGTCCGTTTTTTCTTTTATAATTACAGATTTAATAACTACTCAGAAAAGTGCTCAAAATTTAATTTTGTAGGGAATATATATATATTTATATATATATATTTTTTTTTGGGGGTGAATATGTAGGATACATTTTCAACCAAGAATGAACATGAAGTGATTTAAAATTTAAAATTTTGGGCGAATCTCTAATTTTTTTTGTGAATCCATCTAGACTAAAAGTGAATAAAATGACAAGATTGGGAAAAGTTGTTGGTGTTATTTTGTGGTGTTGTTTTTTTTTTTTTTTTTTTTTTTGTTTTAAGTTTTTTTGAAAAAAAAAAAAAAAAAAAAAAATCCTAACCAAGTTAGCTTACTTTTGCATTTATCAGTATTTTTTTCAAAAAGTTTACATATTTATTTATTTTTTAAGAATTATCTAATATAAACAGTCTCAAAAAGTAAATATTCTAACTTAATGTTGAAAAAAATTCACTAAACACAAAAATAAGCCCAAAAAATATGCCAACTTATAAGCTGTATTTATAAACATTTTTATGAACTACAAATGATCAGAAATGCACAAATTAATTGTTTAAAAAAAAAAAGCAAGTTAAGATTTTGTCTTTCAATACAGTATCTTATTTGATGAGGGAAAATTACAAGTATTATAAGGAATGAATGTATAGAGAAATTAATTTATGTACTATTTGGCACTATGTTCCTTTGCTTTGTATGATCTTATCAATAACAGGCTCAACCATTGTTTCCAAGTCTGTCAAGTCATCCTTCAATTCCTCAACCTGTGAATCCAAATTACATAAAAACTTCAAGTCAAAAAATAACTCAGTATACACATCTCTATAAAATATTATTTTTAAAATTTTACAAAAATCCACGTAAAATTTAAAAATTAGGGACCAAAATGCACCAAATAGTATACTTTCGGTACATAGAGTAATTACCAAAGACTAAAAGGTAACAAATCATATGCTTTGAAACTAAAATAAAGAATTAAAAAAAAAAAAATTAAAGCATAACTGATCACATAATCTATGAACACTTAATGTAATTGAGTAATTACCAAAGACTAAAAGGTAACAAATCATATGCTTTGAAACTAAAATAAAGAATTAAAAAAAAAATTAAAAATTAAAGTATAACTGATCACCTAATTTATGGACACTTAATGTAATTAACTTTAACTTTTTTTTTTTTGTCTTTTTTTTTTTATATATATATATTTTTAAATGGGGCAAAATAACGTTGTAGTTTGACTTAAATTTACTGTGATCCCTATTATTTTAATTTGAATAATTTAGTCATTACATTTTAAATTCAGTTTCAATTTTGTCATTCTACTGAAATTTGAAGTTAAAATTAAAGATTTTCATACATGTGTTAGTCATATGAGGTGTCCAAATAAAAAAAATTGACTATTATTTGAATGGAAGAACTAAATTGAAATTGGACATAAATTGTAAAGATTAAATTATTTAAACTGAAACTATAGAGACTAACGTGATTAAATTTAGGTCAAAATATATAAGTGAAAGGTATAATTTATCTAATATAAAAAAAAAAGTTTTATTAGTGCAAACCTTGTGAATAAAATTTTTGGTCAGTTCAGCATCCTTGGCAGTGGCAGTGGATACCTTTTCTACAAAGAGAGCTGCTTCTTTCAATATTTCATTATCTGGAAGCTTCTCCGCCATGTCTGCCGACACCTTCTCCGCCGTGGTGGCGACCTTTTCCACTACCTCTGCCACAATTTCAACTTCTTCAACAACTGCTTCCACCTCTCCTACAACACCTATATTTACAATTGACTAATAAGATTAAGGTTTTTATAAGACTAATTCTCATTTTAATTCTCATAATTTTAATTTTAACTTTATATTTTTTTATTTTATTGCAATGTGGTCCTTCTGTATCGTTAGAATTTTAAACAGATAAAAATCACATACAAAAAAAGAGGGACCAACGTGAAATTCAAAAAAAAAAACTAGGAATCACCAATACAATGGATAAATTACACCAGTGGTCCTTGCAGTTTTTTTTTTTAATTTTTTAATTTCACTTTAGTTCCTTTAGTTTTTTATGTAATTTTTTTTTATCCAAAATGTTAAAGACCTCACATTGTAATAAAATTAAAAATGTAAAATTCAAATTATTCAAACTGAAATCTAAGAGTATCAAAGTCAAACTTCCACTCAAACTATAAAGTGGACCAATAATCTAATTTACCCAAATTTAAATCTGGAAAACACAACCATTTTCAAAAAAAATTCTAGACAATTTTTAAAGTTCCTATATTTTCTGGTCAAATCATTTCCAATCTTTGCCAAGAAAAGAATATGCCAACTGAGAAAAGAATATTCCACCCATCTTATGCAGAAGAAACCCAAGCCTCAATTTTCTAAGAAACCAAGGGGGGATTGCTCAGTTGCATATTAAAGAGTAATGTTTTTTAAACATAAAATATATACAAGAATTTAAAAAATAGAATATGTACACAATAAATGAAGATGACTTTTAATTTAATTAATTATGAAAATGCCAAGACAACATCATTCAATTTTAAAAACGAATGTTGTATCAAAACAAACTGACTCAAACGTGAATTGCAAAAACAATTTTACAATTACAACAATGACTTTATTTTGTTTGTAAGTCTGATTCATTCTATCTATCTATCTATATTTTCCAAGGCAATAATATAAACCTTGCTTCCAAGAAAAGCACGGTTGGAAATGGTAGAAAAATTCTGGATAAAATCAGAATTTTTTCTCAAGTTTGGTCTATTTTTTAAGTGGGCCCCAAGTGTCGATTTACTCGGGTTAAAGTGGTAACGCGTTCTATGCCGCGTTGTGATTCACGTGGTATATTTGGTTGCTCAAAACCATTACCGAGTGAATGGGAAATTGAAGCCAAAGTGTGCTCCATGGAAATGGAGTTTTGATGGAAATTCCTTAAGGTTGTAAATTGGCTTGTCCCACATTGATTTGGTGGGAAGTTTTGAAATGGTTTATAAGGCTTAGGGTGAGATACTTGGGGTGTGCCCCAAGGGGTACCCAAGTGTTTTAGAGGGAGAGGTTATGGGCAAAATGGGCTAGACCCATTGGACCCAAAAAAACACCACACGCGCGCCGCCGCCGCCGGTCGGGCGGGCTGGGCTGGGCTTGTGCGTGGTTGGGTTGGGCCAAAAACATTTGAATTTAATTTTATTTTTTATTAAAATAAAATCCATAATTCAAATTAAATTGGTTTGGATTATTTGTTCATCCAAACAGGGCCCTTCCCGGTTTCAAACAGAAATAAACTGTTTTGGAATTAATGCACACCCAAACAGGGCCCTTCCCGGTTTCAAACAGAAATAAACTGTTTTGGAATTAATGCACACCCAAACAGGGCCCTTCCCGGTTTCAAACAGAAATAAACTGTTTTGGAATTAATGCACACCCAAACAGGGCCCTTCCCGGTTTCAAACAGAAATAAACTGTTTTGGAATTAATGCACACCCAAACAGGGCCCTTCCCGGTTTCAAACAGAAATAAACTGTTTTGGAATTAATGCACACCCAAACAGGGCCCTTCCCGGTTTCAAACAGAAATAAACTGTTTTGGAATTAATGCACACCCAAACAGGGCCCTTCCCGGTTTCAAACAGAAATAAACTGTTTTGGAATTAATGCACACCCAAACAGGGCCCTTCCCGGTTTCAAACAGAAATAAACTGTTTTGGAATTAGTGACAAGTGCGTCTATGTTAAGAACACTGACCAAGGATATGTCATAGTTTGTCTTTATGTGGATGACATGCTTATCATTGGAAGCAGTCAAAACATGATCAAATCAACTAAGCAGATGCTTAACAAAAGATTTGATATGAAAGATATGGGGGTCGCAGATGTTATATTAGGAATATGAGGCTGCAAATGGTGAACAACTTTTCATGGGAAATTCTTCTACTTCTACTGTGGCTGGACAAGGGAAAGTAATCTTGAAGATGACATCAGGGAAAGAACTGACCCTCAACAACGTACTGCATGTACCTGACATCCGGAAGAAATTA